AGCAAAGTGAGAGAGATTCACTCATTTCGGCAACAGAACTTTGAAGCAATTGCTATTGAAGCTACTCCCATAGGTTCATCCCAACCACTGTCGTTTGCCTGCTTGTATAGACCCCCTAACCAGCCCGCTGCTGACCTACAATATTTTGTAGATACTCTGCGGACTGCTCTCATTAAGCTACCTGCTCCATCATCTACCATTGTAACTGGTGATTTTAATGCCCATTGCCAGAGCTGGTGTGCCTCCGACTCAACATCTGCTGCAGGCTCTGCCTTGTGTAACCTTTTTCGCTCCATAGCACTGTCTCAACTTGTTACGTTCCCCACCCATCTTACATCCAATGGGCCCCGTGGCTGCCTGGACCTAGTCGCCACAAACATTCCCGAGAGGTTCACATCCATTGAATCCCTGAGCCCCCTGGGTGCCTCCGATCACTTAATCGTCCTCGGCAGGCTCTCCATAGCTAAAGACATAGCACAGTCTCGAGAGTCCACATCTGACACTGCACTGCCTCGCTTCAGCCATCACTTGCTCACTCAATCGCAATGGGAAGGCGTCAATGCTGAAATTGCCGCAACTCACTGGAGTGACCGTTTATGCGGCCTTGATATTGATACAGCCGTTTCTAACTTCTCGTCTGTCCTCGAATCGTCTCTCTCAGTCTGCTCTTCTCACCGCGATCACCAGTCAACCACCAGAAACCGAAGCCGCCCTTCACGCCAGGATCCACCATGGATGACACCAGTGCTCAGGGCAGGCATTAAGAGAAAGCATGACCTCTACAGCATCTATAAAAATACCCTACCCCGTCCAATGCAACGCAGTACAAACGTCAGCGGAATATAGCAAAAACGTTATCACGTGTAGCCCATAAAGAATACATCCAGTCCATTACTACTTCTCTCACCGACAGCCAGCGTCCATCACTTCACTCATTTATAAGAACTCTTCGTAAATCAGCATCGTCATTGGGCTCTAGTCCAACAGCAATCACACGGTCTGACCAAAGTTCCGCCACTGCGCCTCTTGATATCGCGGATGCTCTGAATGAGCAGTTTACCAGCTTCTGCGTTAAGGATAGACCTGAATGGTTAGTTCCTCCTATCCACCAAATACCTGTAGAGTCAACGTTTACATCGCTGACGATTTCATCCCGTACTGTAACCAGATACATACGCAGTCTCCCCAATAAGAAGTCTCCTGGTTACGATGGTATACCAAACGAAATCCTGAAACACCTCCAAGACAGCCTAGCATATCCGTTATCGCTGCTCTTTAACATCTCTCTGTCGTCTGGAATCTTTCCGTCCGCATGGAAATACGCATTAGTGGTCCCAATTTATAAGCGCAAAGGCTGCCGGTCGGATGCAACGAACTACAGACCCATTTCCCTACTGTGCTGTATTTCAAAGCTGTTTGAGCGCATTGTGTACGATCAGCTATATCGACACTTGTCCCCGTACTTGCATACCATGCAGTCTGGTTTCCGGCGAGGGGACTCCACAGCTCTGCACCTAGTCCACCTAATCCAAAACATCATGCAGTCCCGACATTTGAAAGAACATACTGGCATGTGCTTCTTTGACCTGGCGAAAGCCTTTGACACTGTTTGGCATAGAGGCCTGATTGCTAAGTTGGGTGCCTATGGCATTGGTGGCAACCTGCTTTGTTTCTTTGAAAGCTACCTAACTGACAGGCTACAGGCTGTACGCGTCGGCAACACCCTCTCGTCTCCCCAGGCAATTAATTCTGGTGTGCCACAGGGGTCAATCCTGGGGCCACTATTCTTTTTAGTCTACGTCAATGATCTACCGATGTCTGTCCCTAATGTTTCACTGTTCGCCGATGACACCACAGTTTCCGCTTCAAGTAGTTGAAAGCAATTGCTAGTCAATGACCTCCAGAAAAAGATAAACTCCACCATTTCTTGGATGTCGACTTGGAAGCTGAGACCGAACACTAGTAAGACCAAAGTGATGTTCTTCTGTAGCGGTGCTAGTGATCAGTTCTGCAATGTGTCTTTATCATGTCCTGGCAGCTCATCGACCATAGAAATTGTCCATGAACATAAGCACCTTGGTATAATTATTGACGACTGTCTAACATGGGCTCCTCATGTAGACTATATTTGCAAGAAAACTAGTAGTGTTCTCGGCATACTATATCCTCATCGTTCTCATTTGCCAAATACATGCCGTTCTATGTTTTATCGCTCGTATCTATTACCTATTTTCCAGTATGCATGTCAGTCTTGGTGTAGTCTAAGTCAACATCTTGTGAACAAACTTGAAATCCAACATAAATCTCTTCTTAAAATATTGTTTAACAAGCAGCGTTTATTTCCTAGTCTTGAGCACTATTGTATCAGCAATACTCAGCCACTGCAAGATAATCGCAAACAGCAGCTTTGCGTTTTGATCCACAGAATTCGCCTAGGTAAAATTCCCATTCATCTCTCCGTATTCAATTGGTTTTCTCTGTCCCGGTCCACTCGTAATAGTCTCTCACTTCCCTGTGCTAATTCAGCCGCATTTACCAACTCTCCTCTGTTTTTGTCCTACAGCCTTTGGCTGCAACTTCCCCAGCATGTTAAGACATCAAAATGTCTTTCCAGCTTTAAAAATGCACTCCGATCGCATAATGTAGTACGATAGGATCTCATTGCTGGATTCTTGTCTATCCTTCTTTCTTCTCTTTTTCTATATTCCTTTCTTTTCTTTTCTTGCCGTGGTTGGCTTTCACCCCTCTCTCGCACTTTGCGTGCCAATTGGTCATGAACCACGAGTTGAGTGAAATAAATAAATAAAATAAAAATCAGTCTGGCGCATCTTCAGGAATCTTCTTTCTTAATCGCATTCAGCAGTCAGCTTCGAGGTCAAGAGCGCGATGATATTTTCAGAAGGAATAATTTTAAATTTTTTTTAAATTTTTGGAGAAGAAGCTTCCTTTCTAAAAAAAAGCGTTCCTTGCTTTCACGCAAGGTGCCTTGCCGGACATGTCGTCGACAGCACAGTGTCGGCAGATCCACGTTTGTAGGCTGCAGACCTGGCAGACGTTTTGATCAGCCCGGCCTGGTGGCGAGATTTCGGACCCGGGAGTACTAAAAACTGCTCGCATCCCAGGGTGCTCAGTTTCGCTCTATCCGATCGAGTAAGGCTTCCAGAAAGGCCCTCAGGTGCACGGCCTGCGGTGCCATAATATACCTCGTTGATCCGCCCCCCACGCCAAGTCGCTTCCCAGCTTGTTTTTCATGGGGGGGGGGGGGGGGGGCGGGGGCGGGAATTCGATCAAGGCTGTTTGGTGCAGTGTCGTTGTACGACAATGCGGTGTTGTATCTTTCAGACGCAAACAGGTGAGAAAGGTCAAACTCGACGCACACATTCACACAGACTCTCACCCGAATGTTGTTTGCGCACTAGAAAGTAGTACGAGGTTGGCTGTATGCATATGGACATGAGTACAGAAAGACGCATAATTTCTCTACCGTATAATTCTGAAGTCGCTTCAGAGACAGAATTTTTTTTTTCACAGGAAAATCACAACTCTTTATTGCACTCAGAAAAATAATAAGGCACCCATTTTGAGAGACAGAAAATCGAGGGGGGGGGGGGGGCGGGAATTAGAGTGGGGGCCGCCGCGCCGGGGCCGATCAACGGTACTTAACTGTAGTATACTCTACAGTGTAGACAGTACAATGACAATGTACTGTCATGTCATGTAGCCTGGTAACTGTTCATAGGTGCCAAACATTCTTTTTTCTTTAGTTTTCTTTGTTATGATTTCTTTTTTTCTTTTTCTTTTTACCAGGCGTGGGCTATCCCCTGAATATTCGAATATATAGGTGCCAGACATTCTTTTTGCTTTCTTTTTCTTTTTACCAGGCGTGGGCCATCCCCTGAATTCATAGGTGCCAACTTGTACTGAGATATGCATGAAAATTTGCCTGGTAACTGTTGCCTGTCGTGGTGGCACTGCCCAATATCAAACGGGGCCAGGGCCGGGGGGACTACCGTAAAATCCCGCCAGAGCGCCCCGTCTCTCCCATCCGCGCCCTCCCTGACTTCTTGTCAGGGGCGTGATTGATTGTATCCTCGTATGACTCTGTCGCAGTCTGTGATGCCGTACTGCACTGCAGACGCGTGCTCAACCCCGTTGGAAATGTACGCAACAGTGCCCACCCTCTTGACCAGGGATCGCACAAACCCTGCGTTTTGTCGGGTCTGTACGACTCCTGGCTCTTGACCTTTGGTCGGTGTACGAGATGCACGAACAGTTTTCGTAGGGTGAGTACTTTTTCATGTAGCACTGAATGCGGCAAGTAGACTCGCCCACCTGAAACGTCGAGGAGGTAGGGGCGCTCTGGTGGGATTTTACGGTACTACCGTAAAGTACCGCCAGAGCGCCCCACCATCTCGTCCTTTCGTGGTCGCCTTGTGGAGGTGGATTCCTGTCTGTAGGTCATACGACACAGACCTTGTACAAACATTGCACATTGTGCAGTCAATCCGTACCCAGTTTACCTTCGAGCTCCACATAAAAGCATACCAAGTGTGACCTTAGTACACGAAGGTTCTCACATCGTACAAACTTAGTAGCATTCTGCCATACGATTTTTTTCGCCTGGGTGTAAAATCAAGGTGGGGCGCTCTCGCGAGACGGGGCGCTCTGGTGGCACTTTACGGTACTAGGCGGGAGACAAAAATACTAGTCTTGCATGCAGGTACATGTAGCTAGCTGCCCAGTGCAGTGGCCACGCGATCGGGAAGGAACACGACTGTGTTTTTACTAGTACTAGTAGTACTAGTAATAGTACTTTTACACACAGTAGTCTAGGACGAGATGACGACGCTCATAATCATGCTGAGAACAATCGACTGGCCCACGCTCATGATCTGATGATGACTGGACTCTGATCGATCCTCGCAAAGCCGAATCATGAACAATGTCAAATCAATGCAAGCGCTCTACGTGTACTGTCAACTAGCCTCTGCTCTCCAAAAATCATAGTAGCACTACGACCAGTACGAGCTGCTGAGCTGTCTTCATAGTGAGTGCGTGCGTGCAGCGGATGCTGGGTTCTGTGACTGTGAGTCTGCTGTTACTGTTAGCTCAGTACCGCCGTTCTACTACTACTAAGTAAGTTCTAGTGTTGGGCTGACGCTTGACACCCGAGAGTGGAACTAACCTTGGAACCGACATAGGCTAGTGTCCACAGCATCACATCCTGCACCAGCCAGCGATATTCCTTGGCTCTTTGGATCGACTCACAATTTCACAGCATCGTCGTATCCGTGACGGCGAGTCTGCCTGCTCAGTGATTGTCTTCGCCGTGCAACGTGCCGGTGACGGACTTGTTGCTCTCCTACAACTAGTACTAGTAGTACCACTTGTAGTGCAAAAGCACTATTTGTATCAGACGCAGCACCGCCGGGCTGGAGAGTGGTGTCGCCGCGCGGATGGCAACCGTACACCAAGTTCGAGTGATGCTGGTAGCAGTGGCCTGTCTGGTGGTGCTGGTCCTGTGTCCGTACATAGCCTCAAGTGGCTTGATTAGAGCACTGCTTCGTTGGGACAGCGTCAGTACTGCAGAAGGTGCTGATCATGATAGATATTGGCACAGCACAGGTATTGGCAGGGCTACTAGGCTGGGGCCCATGTACGCCCTTCCACAAGTAAAGAACACTGCAAAGGTCCTTCCACAAGTAATGGACACTGCAAAGGCCCTTCCACAAGTAATGGACACTGCAAAGGCAACAGGGGTCGGTCACAATGCTGGACCAGTCAGTGGAATTAGAGCTATGAGCAACCCCATCGCGAATCCGTCGACAGTCAGTAGAGTATCCAGGGAGACCCCTGGGCATGGAGAACCAGCCACTCGCGCACCAGCCAGTCGACAATCTCCTGGCTCAGGGCCACCCGGCGAAGCAGAGCGCAAGGCGTTTGCATCGTATTCCGAAAGCCTGCGCGCGCTGGGTGCGGACACCTACGCCAAGCTCAACCAGTACACGTGCAGGTTTGTTGAGGATCACTCGGCGCCCAGCACACCTTACAACCCAACGGATGTGGCCATTGTCAGCCTGCTGTCCGCTTCCGTCGCCAGTCTGCGGGAACGCTACGTCCTCGGCTTGGAAGTGCTCGGGTCGTCGCTGGAAAAGCACGCTCCGAAAGACATTCCCCGCGTGTTGATGTTGCTGGAGGGTACACCGTGCGATGAGCTGTGCATTCGGCGACTGCACGACACTGGCTGGCGCATCTGCCACGTTCCTCACATCAATCCGCCGCACCCGTCCGATTTCCAGCGCTTCAAGGACCAGTTCGTCAAGCTGGCCATGTGGAACATGGTGCAATACAGGCGCATAGTCTATATGGACGCGGACACCCTGGCAGTTGGCAACCTGAGCCGCCTGCTCAGCACAAACGTCAGCGTGGCGTCCCGCGCTCCACTCGCCGTGGCCCAAGACATCTCCGCGGGCAGGTGGGTGAGCGGATTCAACATGGGAGTTGCCGTCATACCTACCAACCGCTCGGAATTCGTTCGTCTGTTCGACCTGGTCACCAGCGATGCAGTGACCTACCAGCGTACAATGTCCGAGCAAGGATTCCTATCTGTTGTCTACAAGGGTCTGTGGAGGAAACTGGCATTCGAGGACAACGCAAACCTCGCCGCCTGGTTGTGGGATAGGGCATTGTGGCTGAGGAAGAGGTCTGAAATCCGCCTCGTGCATTATACAATGGAAAAAGGCTGGGAGATAACGGCGAAGTCATCATATGCTGAGATTGGCAAGCACTGGACGCAGACAAGGGACTTGCTCTGCACGAGACGATGCAAATCTGCCAGCACGTGCGGTCTGGCAAAACCTACAGGCTGCGACTGCAGCAAGGTTGCAGGGACAGTGTGCGGAGCTGCAGCCAGTAGCAACCAGCTGTAAGAACTGGCAGCAAACGTACTCGGAAATTGGACCAAACGATGGCTTTTAGTCTGTGACCGTTGTTTTTTAGTCTTATTTTTTTAATAAAAGGGCACATGCCTGTCTATGGAAGAGAGCAGCGACAACAAGAAAGAACACAGCGGACTACAAAGGGCGTTAGGTGTCATGTCAGTATCCCGGACGCCAGTCCTCCTCCACCCAGGGCCATATTCGCGGGGATTGGAGAGAGTCTCAGGTCTGCTCTCAAGGCCAGTCAGGTCACTCCTATTCTGAACTCAGTCTGCAGTGTGTTGCTGAATGGCCGTGTATAAGGGAGGTAACGTCTCTATCGTGAATACAGTTTTAAATATTTGTGGAATATTCTGGAATTTTGCTGAGACCCCTCATAACCCTGGTGATGTCTGCAGTAACTTGTGCTTCGTTACATTATGTTATCGCTTGTTGCAGCTGTGTCCGTCTCCAGGTGTCTTGCTGTGTGTGTGTGTGTGTGTGTGTGTGTGTGTGTGTGGCTGGGGGGGGGGGGGGGGGAGGGGTGCGTGTGTGTGTCTGTGTGTACATGGTGTGTGTGTATGTGTGTGTGTGTGTGTGGCACCCTCTGCTGCTGGCTACGGTTGCGCCTGCGGCCGCATGTTCCGTCGAAGCGGCGACCTGAAACGCCATCAGTCATTCTGTCGTGGACTGGAGACATAACAATGCGCTATCATTGCTACGCAATGGGCAAGGTCAAGGTGTGTGTGTGTGTGTGTGTGTGTGTGTGTGTGTGTGTGTGTGTGTGTGTGTGTGTGTGTGTGTGTGTGTGTGTGTAGTCTATGCAGTGTCATCTCTGTGAACCAGGGTGTTGCCAGGTGTACATGTGGATGTGCTTCTTGGGAAACAGTGTGTTACAGACAGTCAGCTGTTGACAGGCCAAGAAAGCAAGACGGTTTAGTATGGCTCGGAATGTTGGACCCCATTGAAGTCGGACTTGGACAAGCTGGACAGGTTCCAACACGCCAACCTCCGGTCAATCCTTGGCATTTCGCGCGGCCGCCAGTGGGAGCAGCACATTACATCGGAGCAACTATGCCCACAGTGGGGTGACCCTATTCCACTGTCGTGCATGGTACAGCGAAGACGCTTGGAGTGGCTTGGGCACCTAGCTCGGCTTGATGACAATCGGTTACCCAAGCAGTTGCTCTTCGCTCATCTCCCACGAACCCGCCCGTTTTGCGGCCCCCGACATCCCTGGAAGGACGTTGTCCAGGCTGATCTGACTGTGGCCGGTGTGCACAATTGGTTCCAATCGGCCAACGATCGCGGAGAGTGGCGTGACATAGTGTCGGCAGCAGCGGGGATGAAGGGGCCTGCCCCGAAGACGATTGTGTGCTCCTCCTGTTGCCGAGGTCTCGGCGTGTACTGCCTGCCAGCGTACTTTCAAGTCTACTGCTGGCCTCAAGCGCCATCGCTGTGGACCCCGCCCGAAGCGCTCTACAGTGACTGATCGCCAGCACTTTGAAAATCATTGCCGAGTCTGTAATCAACGCCAGTTTCGGAGGCGACAGGACCTGGAGCGCCATTTGAAGCACTGCTTACCTCTCCCCTAACCTCTCTGACAGTACCTCCCTTTGGGGAGCGGCGTGGCCATTTCTGGCAGCTGTCAATAGTAGTAGTAGTAGTAGAAGTAGCGTGTGTGTGTGTATATATATCCGTTCCATCTTAGGAGTATCACTGAGGAGCGATCAGCACTCCCGTCATCTCACTACTGCAGATCTAGCCCCAGGGAGCGCGTCTTCCCGAGGACATTGGCACCCTCCTGCGTGAGTACCGTCTGCGTTGGCTGTGTCATGTTGCCCGTATGGACGGGGCCCGGATTCCTCAACAAGTGTTGTTTGAGGAGCTCGAGGCAACCAGACCACGACATGGACCAAAGAAGTGTTGGCGAGACACGGTTGTCGGTGATCTGTGCTGCTCACTAGATATTCCGGAGCCCGAATGGTATCAGCTCGCACAGTATCGCCCAGAATGGCGCAGGCGGGTCCATCAACGTCGTCTACCTCTCCCAGCACTGAAGGACTTCCACTGCGCATGCGGCAGAACGTTTAGAAGAAGTGGCGATTTGAAGCGTCACCTCAAGTACTGCCCAACACAGTAGCCCATCATCTCCACTGGAGATTGGACGTCAAAGGTCAAAGGTGTGTGTGTGTGTGTGAGTGTGTGTGTGTGTGTATGTATGTGTGTGTGTGTGTGTGTGTGTGTGTGTGTGTGTGTGTGTGTGTGTGTGTGTGTGTGTGTGTGTGTGTGTGTGTGTGTGTGTGTGTGTGTGTGTGTGTGTGTGTGTGTGTGTGTGTGTGTGTGTGTGTGTGTGTGTGTGTGTGTGTGTGTGTGTGTGTGTGTGTGTGTGTGTGTGTGTGTGTGTGTGTGTGTGTGTGTGTGTGTGTGTGTGTGTGTGTGTGTGTGTGTGTGTGTGTGTGTGTGTGTGTGTGTGTGTGTGTGTGTGTGTGTGTGTGTGTGTGTGTGTGTGTGTGTGTGTGTGTGTGTGTGTGTGTGTGTGTGTGTGTGTGTGTGTGTGTGTGTGTGTGTGTGTGTGTGTGTGTGTGTGTGTGTGTGTGTGTGTGTGTGTGTGTGTGTGTGTGTGTGTGTGTGTGTGTGTGTGTGTGTGTGTGTGTGTGTGTGTGTGTGTGTGTGTGTGTGTGTGTGTGTGTGTGTGTGTGTGTGTGTGTGTGTGTGTGTGTGTGTGTGTGTGTGTGTGTGTGTGTGTGTGTGTGTGTGTGTGTGTGTGTGTGTGTGTGTGTGTGTGTGTGTGTGTGTGTGTGTGTGTGTGTGTGTGTGTGTGTGTGTGTGTGTGTGTGTGTGTGTGTGTGTGTGTGTGTGTGTGTGTGTGTGTGTGTGTGTGTGTGTGTGTGTGTGTGTGTGTGTGTGTGTGTGTGTGTGTGTGTGTGTGTGTGTGTGTGTGTGTGTGTGTGTGTGTGTGTGTGTGTGTGTGTGTGTGTGTGTGTGTGTGTGTGTGTGTGTGTGTGTGTGTGTGTGTGTGTGTGTGTGTGTGTGTGTGTGTGTGTGTGTGTGTGTGTGTGTGTGTGTGTGTGTGTGTGTGTGTGTGTGTGTGTGTGTGTGTGTGTGTGTGTGTGTGTGTGTGTGTGTGTGTGTGTGTGTGTGTGTGTGTGTGTGTGTGTGTGTGTGTGTGTGTGTGTGTGTGTGTGTGTGTGTGTGTGTGTGTGTGTGTGTGTGTGTGTGTGTGTGTGTGTGTGTGTGTGTGTGTGTGTGTGTGTGTGTGTGTGTGTGTGTGTGTGTGTGTGTGTGTGTGTGTGTGTGTGTGTGTGTGTGTGTGTGTGTGTGTGTGTGTGTGTGTGTGTGTGTGTGTGTGTGTGTGTGTGTGTGTGTGTGTGTGTGTGTGTGTGTGTGTGTGTGTGTGTGTGTGTGTGTGTGTGTGTGTGTGTGTGTGTGTGTGTGTGTGTGTGTGTGTGTGTGTGTGTGTGTGTGTGTGTGTGTGTGTGTGTGTGTGTGTGTGTGTGTGTGTGTGTGTGTGTGTGTGTGTGTGTGTGTGTGTGTGTGTGTGTGTGTGTGTGTGTGTGTGTGTGTGTGTGTGTGTGTGTGTGTGTGTGTGTGTGTGTGTGTGTGTGTGTGTGTGTGTGTGTGTGTGTGTGTGTGTGTGTGTGTGTGTGTGTGTGTGTGTGTGTGTGTGTGTGTGTGTGTGTGTGTGTGTGTGTGTGTGTGTGTGTGTGTGTGTGTGTGTGTGTGTGTGTGTGTGTGTGTGTGTGTGTGTGTGTGTGTGTGTGTGTGTGTGTGTGTGTGTGAATAGGGATTCACTGGCCAGAAAAAGTCACTTCAAACAGCTGTGTGGTGGATACCAGGCTGAAAATAGTGGCGGTCAATTCATCAGCCTTGCAAGCTGTTGAATGGTGTAATCCCAGCACAAGTTGCTATGTCTAACAAGTCATAGCTGTTCGCTATCATCGCTTCCGCGATGGGCATGTCTGAGGTCTGAGATGTGTGTTACGAGACCTTGAAGCGGACTGGTACAGAGTGGCCTGTGACTCTCGCCCAGACTGGGCCTCGGACGCCCCGGATCCTCTCGTACTCGCACTGGTGACTTGTTTCACATGCGCCCGGCACTTCGCACGTCAGGGCGACCTCGCTAGGCACAAGTGCAGGGCTGAACGGCAGAAGCCGGTTGTCAGTGCCCTCCGTGTCATCGTTGGTTCCGGAGCCGCGGAGGCTTGGCTGTGCATCGTTGCTCCGCTTCTACCTCGTGCCTAGTACCGACCGAACCAGCTGCTGTCGTCACCGGTGACACTACCGCTCGGAGTTGTTGCAATGCTCACTGTGACACCTGCAATCGTTGTTTCCGCTCAACCCAGGGACGCAACCGCCATCGCTGTTCAACGCACTGCCACCGACCAACGGCCAGAGAACGGGACAAGTTCCCGCATATGTGTATCTGCTCTCGCCGGTTCCGACTAGTCTCGCATCTGGAGCGCCATCGGCTGGTGTGCTCTTTCTCTCTCTCTGCTGCCCCTCCGGGGCCCACGTGACCCTAGTGGTAGTGGCTCTACAGGACAGGACAGGACAGGTGTGTGTGTGTGTGTGTGTGTGTGTGTGTGTGTGTGTGTGTGTGTGTGTGTGTGTGTGTGTGTGTGTGTGTGTGTGTGTTGTTGTTGTTGTGTTTATTTTAATTCGCAAACCAAACGGGCAGATCTGCCCAATGAAAAGGTGGCGAATGCAGATAGAAAGCAGTAATAAATGAAATTGGGGTGTGTATGTGCAGGGTGAAGATGTGGATCAGGGTGAAGTTGTAGAACAGGATGAAGCTGTGGGGCAGGATGAAGCTATCCAAGAGGAAGAAAATGAATTTTCTGCGCCCGCAGTCAGAGGGCCGTTTCGCTTTGAGCCGCAGGGCCCTCCAGAGAGTGCTCAGGCTATAGCTGCTGATGCTGCTGAAGGCGATACACACATACCAGATGCAGTCCAGCGAATTGGGCACAGGCGTTGGTGTGGTTGCCTTTTCTGCAAAACAATGTTGAGGGAGGCAGAGTGCTTTTGTTGCCGCGAAAGCGCAGCGGCGCTGGCATTCTCTGAAGGGGAGATGTGCGTGACTCAACATAGAGACTTTGAAGCTGTTGTTAGCCAATGGCGGACTATGCTCGGCCAATCGTCAAATTATGCTTTTGATTATGCCACAGTTATGCCAACAAAATATGCTGAATTATGCTCGGTTCCACTATGTATTCACGCTGTACATAGAGGATTGAGAAACCACGCATACACACACGGCCATGCCCTAAGCATAATTTTTGTTTAAACCGAAAGATTATGACGACCTTACACGTTGGAATCCGTATAATTATTATGCCGGAGCATAATTTTTTTGGCGAAATCCCAAGATTATGCCGGCATAATCCGCCAAGGGCTATGACAAGGAGTCGTAACTGGGGTATTTAAAAAAAACCCATCTGCAGGCTTTC